AACCTCTCTCAAGCCTAAACCCTAAAGACCTGTGCTTGAGGCTCCAGGTGTCTGGCAGTAGAAAGACCCCAGAATCACCCCCGCGCGCTCTCGAACCCAACCTTTTTTTCTGCGGAGATGGTGGAGAAATCGATCGACGAGCTCCGCTGTCCGTCGGAGAAATCCGAAATTTCTGCAGATCTTCTCAGAGCAGTTCCCCTTCATTCGTGCCTGAGTGGTACGGGTAGGCATTGGTGCCATCCCGGTAGCACCTGGAGACCCAAGACAAGCAGACAAAGGGTCACGCAGTATGACATCTTTTTCAGCCATGATTGGAAGAGTGGGCGCTGGAGCAAGCATCTCTCACTCCTGGTGGCCTTCAATGGCCTGCCTGCCGCAATAGCGGGCTGGGCATCAAGCTTAGCGATGGGCCTGCTGGTATTGCTAGGCATTCTGCCCACATCCTTCGCTGTTTGGATGCCTGTGTGGGGCTATATGGTGTCATTGACCATCTTCTGCTTCTGGCAGCATGTGCGGAGACTCTTCGCTGGGCCCACATTTGCATTTATTGACAGTATTTGCATACCACAGGGTGACGAGGTGCTGAAGGCACGATGCATCCGAGGATTGGGTACCTTCCTGAGAAGGTCCGAACAGTTAGTTGTTTTGTGGTCGCCGCAATACTTCCGTCGCTTGTGGTGTTCATATGAGACGGGGTTCTTCTTGCGGGAGAAGGGCGACGCCAAAAAGATTCAGTTCGTGCCCGTCCAGATCGGGCGCATTTGTGCATGTCTCTTCATGGGGGTGCTGCTCTTCCAAGGGACGATGTATGCTGTAGTGTGGGGGGGCAGAGGGTTGGATGCAATGCAGGCGACGGGCGTGATGGCTCCTGCACTAGTGCTGCAGACAGTTGTCATATTCCCAGTTCTGCAATACACCCTGACCGCCATGCTCAAGGATCTGTCGCAGCTGCCGAGCCAGGTCAGCGAGTTTCGCGTGCAGGACTCTGAATGCACGTGTTGCACACAACAGCATTCTGACCCTGTCACACATGCACCCATTGCCTGTGACCGTGAGCTGATCTACAGATCTCTGCGCAGTACCTTCGGGCCTACCGTCGGTAAAATGGAGGAGGAAGCAGCACTTGATGCATTCAACGGCTACGTGCGTGAGACGCTCGCTCGTTCCATCGACAGAAGTTTCAGGCATCACAACATGATTTTGAGGCAAGCGCTTGTGACCTGTGCAACCGCCTGTGGCCCATGGGCATCCATCAACATGGCCATGGCTCGTGAGTTGTCAATGTCGTTAGAAGACATGGTTCGATGGTTTGGAGGGTTCATCTACATCAACGCCGGGCTCCTTTGCGTGATGCGGATCTCTCTGCTTATCAGTCATTTCGGCGTGTTTCAGTTGGAGAAGTACTCCCGACCGGTTATCGTTTTGAGTCAGGTGGTGATGCTTAGCTTCAGCACGGCTGCGATACTGTTGCCCTGGCCCGTGACCTGGGTTCTGTCTGTTTCCGGGTACCCTTGGATTTGGACCAGTGTTTTGGCTGCAATGCTGTGCATGAGCGGCTGTTTCCTGCGGCCAGCTTTCAGTGCCCCCGCTGGTACGCATGATTCGCAGCCCGATCTGCCAAGCGCAACCTATGGAAGTGAGACAGGGTCAGGTCGTGACGAGGACGAAGGGTCCACCTTCGAGATTTAGAAGCGACGACTCCCCACCACAGACTCAGGCATCTGGGATGATCCACAAAGTAGCATGCCCCTTAAGGGGCCTTGCTATAGAGTGAGTAGGATACACACCTGCAGGCCAGGCCTCTACTTTCTGAGAAGTTTTCAATTTTCTGGGAAGCTGCAGCACCGCATTTTGCACCAGGGGCCTACATAATTAGCAATCCTATTTTGGGGCTCCTGATATTATAAGTATATATAGAACAAGGCGCCCCGAAACTCTCTTCTAAATAATTAGGGCCCCCAAACGAATCATTGTCAGTCAGTATGCAGCAGCGAAATGATTCTTGTGAAAAAACCGCCTCGGAAACAGGCACGCTTCCGGCAAAAGTCCGACCTGAGGAGGCTTCAGCTACTTATCAGGGTTTAGGGTTTAGGGTTTAGGTATCATGCTAGGTGTCAAACCTGAGAATTTCAAGTCTAACCCTAAACCCTAAAACCCAAGCCCGAAACCGATCGAGAATCTCCAACTCTTCTTGTAAATGTAGATGCCTTCTCGCAAAAAGGCTTCAGACAGCTTCAAGTCCAAATTTCTCTCCGAAGGAGACGAATCTTGTTGACTGCCGCCGAGCTCCCTGAAAATCGCTCCTGCTGAGTGTTCTTGATGTAGAAGCCGGAATAGGTGCCAATACTATCTGTAAGGATAACTGTAGTATACAGAAGCCCCCAAGCCCCGTTTAAAGGTCAAGATACCCGCCAAACCATACTAATGTAGGGGCCTTTTGGGGTATATTATACGGACCCTAAATAGAACAAGGAGCCCCCAAAATAGTATGGGTAGTTCTTAAGGCCCTATATTACGGCACAAGATGCCCTAAAACCCCCTGCAAACAGAAGATCCCCTTCTCACCAACCCTCACCAACCCGAAACCATAAACCCCAAGCAACCCCTAAACCCTAAACCCTAAACCGTCTCACCCAAGACCCTACTGTAAATCATGAGGCCCCGATGTCAGATCTATGCTCGGGCCTAAGACAGGTCTTGGGTTCTGGCTTGGGTTTGGAGTGCGTTGTGTTGATTTGGGTTTAGGGCTAAGGGCTTCCTAAGCCCAAAACCCAAAACCCTCAACCCCAAGTCCAAAGCCTTCGGGGTTAAGGGTTTAGGGTTCAGGGTTTAGGGTGTTATGGTCGGTCCAAAAGACCAGATGCAAGTGCAGTTGGTTGGGATTTTCGTCGTGGGGCTTTACTGGTCTTGAGTCGAGACCCCACCCCCGAAAATTGGAGGCTGCCGCCGCTCCCGCCGAAGCGTGCGCAGTCGGGGCGGCGGTGGGAGAACTTCTGGCAGGAGCCCTGAGGGAAGGATCCTTGGGTTAGACTTCAAGGCTTTATTACTTTACTCTATAGGGTTTAGGGTTTAGGGTTTAGGGCTTTACTACTTTACTCTATAGGGTTTAGGGTTTAGGGTTTAGGGCTTTATTACTTTACTCTATAGGGTTTAGGGTTTAGGGCTTTACTACTTTACTCTATACGGTTTAGGGTTCAGTTTTTAGGGCTTTACTGCTTTACTCTATAGTTATTCCATTGTCGAGGCTGTCGGTGTGCCACGTTGCAGCTGCTTGGTTGGGTTTAGGGTTTAGGGTTTAGGGTTTAGGGTCAGCTGTCAGTTTCTTTGCCTTTTGCATGCGGTCCATTGTTGAGCGCCTGGGTGTAGGCGAAAGTGCAGCTCCCAAACCCTGAACCCTGATCCCTAAACCCTTAGCCCTGAACCCTAAAACCCAAAACCCAAAACCCTGAACCCTGAACCCTGAACCCTGAACCCTAACGACTTGGGGTTGAGCCGACGCCTGCTCACAACGGGGCGGTTTCCCCAAAGGGGACTTTCCGAAAATAGGGGGTACCTTATTTGGGGGTCCTTATAATAAAGGATCCTATTATTTAGGGAACTATATCAGGGTCCCCTATTTTCGGAAACTCCCAAATCTCGTCCTCAGACCTGGGCTTGCTCAAGGTGTCAGCGTCCAAATGGGTGGGTTGTCAAAATTAGGGTCCCTTTTTGGGTCCTTATTAGAATACGGCACCTAGTATTTAGGGTACCCCCAAAAGGGACCAGCATTTTGACAACGACCCAAATGAACGCCGCGTAAAACCCGAAGCCCTAGATCCTAAACCCTGAGCCTTCAACCTGATTCCTAAACCCCAAGCCCTAAGCCGTGCCCTAAACCCTAAACCCCTAGGCCCCCAAAAATAAACCCCTAGGCCCAGGCCCCTAACCCAAAACCCTGGGCCCCTAAACCCTACACCCCTCTAGGCCCCTAAACCCTAAACCCAAGGCCCCTAAACCCTACACCCCTAGGCCGCTAAACCCTAAACCCCAAGGCCCCTAAACCCTACACCCCTACACCCCTAAACCCTAAACCTCTAAAGACATGATTCTCAACCCCAGCTTCGGGGGTGGACCTCCATGAGTAGCTCGGGAGCCTTTGCTCCCTTGACCCAGGAGCTCACCAGCACCGACCCAGCCATCCTGTATCCGGACAGAGTAATTAGGGTTTAGGGTTTGGGATAGGGCTTAGGGTTCCGGGTCTAGGGCATCTAGACAGAGCAATAAGGTTTCAGGTTTAGGGTTCCGGGTCTTGGGTTTAGGGTTCAGGTTTAGGGTTTAGGGTTCCGGGTCTAGGATATCTTGGATGGGTTAAGGTTGAGGGTTTAGACAGGTGTTCATAGGAGGCCAAAACAACCCTGAAAGGGGTTTAGGATTGCAAGGTTCGGCAAAACTGAGGCTTTCAAGATCACGCTGCGCGTTTCACATCTAGGGTTTAGGGTCTGGGGTTTGGTAGCCCACCAATCTCTTCCAAGCAGCCTTTCTCCGCAGCGCTAACCTTGCAAAGAAGTCAACAACAGGCTAAGACTAGCGTGTAACTCCAGCCTCCCAACCAAGACAAAACTCAGCATACCAAGGAATTCTAGATTCCAGATGATGACCGATATTATGAATCAGGATTCCTTCAGAAAAGTCAGGATTTGATATGCTCCAAAACCCTATCCGAGTCACTGTAAGGCTTCCGTGGCGCTCCGCACTTCTCTCGCATCCTTGCCGCCCTAAGGACTGGATGCCTTACCCTTCAATCACGAAAAACCTTCGCAGGAGAGTCCGAAGTCTTAAACTCTCTACCATGCGTAGTTCTCTGAATTAGGGGTTCTTTTTAGGGCCCCTTGTAGGGTCCCTCTTAATAGGGTGCCTTACTATACTGAGGGACCAGAAAAAGGGACCCTCACTTACACAACTACCCACATCCTAAAGTCCTTAATGCCAGACCCCTGAAACCCTAATTGCCTAAATCCTAAGCCCAAGCTGAAACTCCGCGACGTCCGAAGTCGCAAACCCTTCTCAATTCCAGAAGAGATCGATCCCCAGCCGCCAAGTCGTAAGCCTAACATCCTCAAGAATAAACCGTGAGCGCCACGTGCCAGGGACCTCGCCCAGGCGTGTCCGAGTATGAGTGCTGAAACCCTAAACATCTTAAACCCTAAAACCTAAACCCAAGCCCTAAACCCTAAAAAACCTAAACCCAAAGCTCTAAACCCTAAAAGAAACCCTACACCCTGAGCCCGGAAGCCTGAAGAGCTTCCGCCTAAGTCCTAAACCCAACATCCTCAAGCCGAAGCTCTACCCGCTTTTTAGCATCCACAAGGCTCAAACCCTACGCCCTGAACCCGAGCATCCACTAAACCCTGCCTGTGGCCCAAAAACCCTACTATTCTTCGGGGTTTGGGTTTAGGTGAGGACTTACATAATCCTAGGTAGTATGAGGGAGACCCCTCAAACCCGACTTCTGGCTCTCTTATATTGAGAGGGCCTATGTCCAAAAGGCTCCCCTGAATCCCAACTCCCACATGAAGGAAATCACAATAAGGAGCCCGACAAAGGCAGATCCTGTAAACCCTAAACCCTAAAC